GTCCCTGGGAAGACACCCAATTCTCCACAGGCCAGACTGGGCAGCTATGCTGGCTAGATGTGGCCTCTGGGCCAGAGGTTATCCTCCCCTGTTCTACAGTATGAAACAAACCTTTTCCACAAATCACAGACTGCAGAGACCCCCAGTTTAAATTATTTTTCTGCAGTTTTCTCACAGTTGAAAAATCACAAAAAACTGGTTAATGTGTCATCAGGCACTTGTGAGGAGAGCCCAGTTCAGATGTGTCTGCTTGAAAGAGTGGGGAGGTTTGTGCTGTTCTTCCCTATGCTACTTTAGTGCCATCTCAAGCTAAACATTTTTAACTGAGGATGAGCCAACTGGGATTCCCAGCTTCATTTCTGATATGAAAGCAAAAAAAAGGGGGGGGCACAGAGGGAGGGGAAGAGTTTTACCACTTTTAAGCAGAAGGTGTAGCAAAAACAACTCACATCTTGTAAAAAGTTAGAATAAATTATTAGAGGTATTTAGGGCAAATGCAGAAATGACAGGAAAGTAAGCATAAATGCTTTTCATGCAGAAAAGGTTTATATTCAAATGTGCAAGGAGAATGAACTGTGCCTGTGCTATATAACTCCATTATGAAATGAATGAGAGGTATGAATGCTTGTACTCTTTATGTTGATGCTGAAAAGGGGTGGTTCTTTATGTCAGATACTTTGGAAGAACCACCTGTCCAGTAAGAGGCAAGAAACAGAGAACAAGAAAGAGGGAAGGGAGATTCTCTCACACCTCCTTCATGGCCTAAGTGTTTCAATGATCAAGGTGTATCAATGAGGCTAGCTTTGAGAACAATGATGTAACTTGATGCTGACTATTAGCCACCTTCACATACCTTTACATATTTTCCTTTTTTCTGACTGCTTCAGTGGTATAAACTTAACTATTATCATCAGAGTACACTACCAGGTATGTCATATAAGTTGTTTCATCGGTATATAGGCAAGAAATCCTAAAGCAATCTCCCCCAACCTGGTGTCCTCTGTATATTTTGGGTTACTGCTAGCTGTACAGGCAAGGACTGATGGGTGTTTAAGTCACTGGAGGCACTAGGTTGTAGAAGGCTATCCCAAAGGATCTACATGAGCATCTCCCATTTTTGAATAGCATACTGTAGAGTCTCAACCGTGGCAGTTCATGTGCGTCTTCAGACCACCCTACACTGGAAAGATTCTATTTGTTTCCATTGTCCTTCAGTTCAGTACACTTTCTTTAGGCTGTCCAACTTCTATTTACAAAATGCCCATCTTTCTAGCAAAGGAAATGAAGGGAACATAATCAAGCAGAAAGGAGTCAGGGTCACACATAATTTCAATTTAACTCCCACAAACTCTCTCATGACAAACTTCAGCACAATTTTAAGGGTTGGTTTTTTTTTTAACCAAAGTTTCAACAAGCACCCAAACCCCCCTGCCCCAACCCTATAGACCACAATAGAAAATAATGGGCAGGCACCAAAATTTGATTATTGCATTTCAGCACTGTTTCCAGAAATATCATGCCGTGATTTAACTCCTTGACATGTATCCTTGGAAACCAAACTCTAAGCAGCTGCCCTTGGATATGTCACACAAGGCCAGGTTTTCCTTCTTTGTATTCAAATATAACTAATTACTTGGCCTTTGAAATGATAGATGGTCGTGGGGACTTGCTGCAGTCCTTCCATGGCAGAGCCAGACTGCAGGGGATAGCAATAGCTGTGCCAAATCCCCCACGAGGTGAGGGCAGGCACTGGCGAGGCTCTGTTTGAACAGCTGCATATGCAAATGTAATTAAATAGGTGTTGCTGGCCTTTTCTGCTCACCCGATCCCCCCTAAACACACTATCCTCCCCCTTACCCATTTCCTATTTTTTAAAAAAAGTCTTTTCTCACTAGGTGTGTCAAATTTGTAGATCTTAAATAAAGAATAAAATAGAGGATATGATTAGGGTCTATATATACTCTTAATCAGCAGATTCAAATTCTGTACCAGAACAACCCCATTCTGGCTATATCACTCTAAATTTTAGACTTCTGCTCTTAGAAGCAGATGAGAAAATACTGAGCTGGGGCTGCCTCTCTGGTTGGGTTGGGCTTTGTAATGATTTTCCTGTCAAGACTATTTATGTCTGAATACGTCCACCATGGGTCTCTGCCAAGTGACAAAAAGTTCTCCTGCGATTAGAGCCTGGGGACAGAATTCCAGAGATACAGGTTTCTTGATAGCTCTGCCAGAGTCTGTTTGGGTGACCTTGGCACATCAAGTAACATTCCCTTTTTTCTATCAGGAAAAGAGAATGGCAGAAGGAGAAAGGCTACTCATGGTGCTAGGGCAGGAGTGAGCTTATTAGTATTTGTGATGCTCCTGACAGCCAATTGTAAGAAAGAAATGGCATTGCCCTGCACATATTTGCTGCCCCTTAGGGTCTTGCAGTCTGCGAATCACAGCACACTGGGCCAAATTGTCTGAACTACAAAAGTTATTAACATGCCACAAGGTTGCAGGCCTCAAAAAGCACAAACAGTTTGACAAGATGAAGAGATGATACATTAGTGCAGAAGTCCTGGTTTCCAAAATATGGCAGTGCAGCAGTGAAAGTGCCTTGCCAAAAGTCTTTCAGGTTAACAACAGATGACATTAATTGCACATATAAACTTAATCAATAGGCAAGGGTGGTTTTTTCCTGTATTATGCAAATAACAGCTGGGGAAAACCCTGAGCGGCCCCAGGACTTTGGTGTATGGGGAAGGAAATATAACTATCTTCACTTGCTACGTTCCTGACAAAAATTCCCTCTCTTGAAGCTGCTACATGCATTTCAAGGTAGGCTCCTTCGGCACCAAAATGTAACAAAAACAATGCATATTAATTGCATTCACAAAATAATGTTATGCTTAAATTGGCTTCCAGTTCCATTTGTACCGAAGTAATCAAAACACCTCCTTATTCTCACTAGGGGAAACTATTACACCTGTGCATCCTTTCCCAATCCTTATATCATGGTTTATAAGGATCAAGTGGTACCCCATTAACAGGCAAACTGCCACACAATATATTCAAGAATAACTTTATGGAACAAGATGAGCCCATACCATAAGCAATGCAAAAACCATGGAAAGTTATCCTGAATATCCAGACAGCAAGACACAGGGAACATGAAAAGAGGCAAAAGGGGGAAAAACTGGAACAGCTCATAAACCAAGAAAGAAGTTATTTTGGGAAGGCCATCTTTTGGTTCAGAACCAAGGCAATTGTCTGTGCAGTTTTTGGAAGGAACACTGGCATAATCTTCTGGCAAACAACTCACAGGAAAGATTGACTTCATGTCACACTATGCTAAGCTCTCCACTGTACTAAAAATAAAATGGAGATTTGCTCATCAAAGCATATACAGCCCATTTTAGAGGAACAAACCCAAGGATGTGCAGTCCTGAATTTAATCAGCCCAATTAATCTTCTGGGAAAATTGTCACGCAACATGAGAAATTCACCAGTGTAGTGGATAAGGCAAGATCCTGTGCACACCGTTACTTTCTAGAGATAGAAAGATCTTTTAGAATAAAATCTGGATTAAATAGATCTGTTGTAAACCTTTGACAAAAACAGAAGATTTGGAGAACAACTGAACAATTAACATTACTGTAACAGGTGAAGCCTGTGTTAAAGCAACAAAAATAGAAGATAAGGCTTCTGTTTTCTATCAAAGACCATGTTAAAAGTGAAGCAATATCTCCTCCGATTCCCCAGTGGTGATTCCTAGGGCTATTGGGCTGTAATGCCACCTTGTGGAACAGGAAAAAAAATAATTTTGACACAACTGTATGTTCATCATTAATATAAGAATTGGAGTTAGAGTAAAAAGCAAGCAAGATGGACAATGTGGCCTTGAATAAGATTTGTAAATCTTGGTGGGATCTTTGTTATTATGCTCTAGCATAGTTAGAAGGGAAGATCCAGCTCAGATACTCTCCCAGACCTCAAAGGAACCTTGAAGGCCTCCCTCCACAGCTCTTGACTCTACAGTGTAATAGCTGTGACATTGGAAAAGATAAACAGGAGGTGAATTGGGGGTGAGGAATACATGAGCAGACTGGGGTTCCCAGATACCCACTCCCTGAAATCAATGGAACTTGATAAAGAGCTTTAACTAAGTGGCAGGGCACATATTTTTTTATTTAGAAGGTCCTAGGTTCAAAACATGGCACCTGCAGGAAAGGCACTGCCAGTTAACGATACTGGTCCAGATGGACCAGTAGTATGATGCATTATAGGAGAGCTTCCTATGTACACCTGGTGTGTATGATTTCTCTCCCACTGCAACCAACAGAAGGAAAGGAGATTTTAAAAATAGAGAGGAAGGAACAAAAATAAATATATTTCTTCCACCATGCCACCCTTCTGCCCTGAGGAGGGTGGGCTGCTTTGGATCCCTCTGGATCTTCCCTGCCCACTGCCCACCACAGTAGGATAGTTCTGCCCTTCTAGGAATATTCAATAAGATTTCAATAGCAAGATAAGATTGCACGCCAATTTGCAGTTAACCAGTCTCATATATGGAAATGGTGTCCTACTCTTATCACCTCTCAGGAAGGAAGGAAGGATGGATGGAAGGAAGGACGGAAGGACGGACAGACGAAATGGTTTACATGGCTTAAGAAACTTTGCCTTGTATGTCACTATAGAAGGCATAACAGTAAAAACACCAATTGCAGCACAGGTGGCCTCTACCTAAGTGTGATTGTAAACAACTTCCTCCTTCTGTATAAGGATGCTATTTTATTTTTGTCTCGCATGTCTACCTCGTTTCTCTCCTCACCTCCCTCTCAAAAGCAACAGTTGCTTCCAATAATCTAATTGCTATGCAGTAAACTATTACTAGCAGTCAGCAAAACAGTAAGTTAAAGGGCGAGCTTGGTGGTTAAAAATGCATTTGACTGATTCACAAAGAGTACACATGCTAAAGCAAAAATAGTAGATTTAAAATTCAAGCTGTATCTTACCACAAGAAGTTGACTTTTTTTCCACCGTCATCACATGCCTGGTTTGGCTGCGGACCTTGTTGTCAGTATTTTCTACCAAATTGGCAAGATCATCAATGATCTCTAAGGAAAGGAACACAATATAGTATTAATTTCTAGTCTTCCCATCATCACCTCTAAACAAATGCGATGTTAGCATTTTACGGAACCATTTCAGTGTATATTTCCAAGCCCAATTCAAGATGCCAGTTTTGACCTGTAAAGTCTCACATAAATCCCACAGTTAGGTTAGATACCTAGGAGGATTATTCTAGAGGGGGTAAACGCCATGTGGAAATCCCCAGGAAGCAATGTACAGGCAAACTTCTGTGAGTGCTGCACACGCCTACCATAGTAAAGCATGTTAGAACTGGTGTTGCGTCAGGATGAGCGTAAGGCCTCCTAAGGCAATTTACTGGACAGGCTCTGTGAAGAGCCATGCCGGGTGCTCCCTTGTTGCACCTTTGCTGCCGCAAAGCAGTGGCTGGTATGGCTCTGTAAAGAGGCTGCCAACCGAGGCCTTGTTCAGAATAAGCGCAGGGTAGGTGGTGGTTCCAGTGGCAGTAGTGAGTCACAACGGCTGCTAATGACCCGTGAGGCTCTCTGCAATGCCTGCCCACGCTAAGCCTCACTTGGAGAACATATCAGATGGCAGCACCGGGCCAGCCAGCAGCAGACGCTTGGGAGCTGCCGCCCTTCCTAATCTGGGGGGGAGGTTTCATCTTGCTTCATGAAAGCGCCAGTCATGAGCCGCTTGGACCAAATGTAGCATGTTAACTCACACTAACAATGAATGGCTTGGGGGTGGGGTGGGGTGGGGTGGGGTGGGAAGACTCAAATGAGAAAGAACACAGTTTGAACATTACCCTGTTTAAGTGGCTTACCTATAGAATATGTCTATTATGTTTGTACTTTAACTCCCTTCAGTATTTCACATTTCAGTGAGAACTAGGACAACATGATCGTTAGCAAGTGCTAACCACGCTGATCATATTACTCCAGCATTAAAACAGCTTCATTAATTACCTGTTTCTAGACAAAATTCATGGTGCGGCTAGGGACATGAACTAATTGCAAAATCAGTTCTTGAGTACTGTAGCTCAAAATGCACCATCCATATACAAATGGGAGGGATCAACAGACTTACATAAAACCTAAAATTTCCACCACTGTAAAATGGCTTTAGGAAGGAGAATCCCTAAGGGTGATCTCTACCAAGATCTCTGCAGGAAAGGGCTGAGAATATGAACAGTGGGGAAATCAGCAAATTGGGGGTAGGTGCATTCAACCGTGACAGAGTTAGTGAATGTGGCCCAGTAATGACTGAGCATGCACAGCAAGTCAGAGAATATGGGCCAAATGCTGGAGGTCAGGGGAGCAATGGAATGGAGTGCCATAAAGGCAACCATAAGTGGCTGGCTAAACAACATGGGTCCAAAGTACTACAGTACCTATGCATTTTTTCCACCAACAATGTGCTGTTGCTGTTTTTGCATCCATTAAATACTTCATGTAAATGTACTTGTTCATTTTAAATTATATAAAAGCACAGAAAGAAAGACTAGGGTTTGGCTTAATCCTGTGTTTATGCTATATTGAAAGAAAAGCTTTGACTCACTGTGTTTAATATTGAAGTGTTTAAAGACTATCCTGGCTATGATATCATAACATGTCTCCTAAAGGATATATGCTTTTTTGTTCTAGTTCCACATACTCTGGCCAGAATCCAAACAGTTTCCCCCAACTGTTTGAAAGCTTCCATTAATGAGCTGGGAAGAGGGCAATCTTTACCAATTCCCATTCCTCCCTGTGCCTCCACCCAAGCTACTCTGGACAGTTAGGAGACATAGAAACATAGAAACAGAGCGAGTCAGAAGGGGCCTTCCGGGCCATCTAGTCTGACCCCTGGCTCCAGCCGGCTCCGCTCACGACATACCCACCATGTGCATGTCCAGCCTATCCTTGAACACCTTCACCGATGGGACCTCAACGACCTCTCATGGAAGCCCATTCCACACCCTTGGGGTCATAAGTGTCAGGAAATGCTTCCTGGCATCTAAATGGAACCTTGGCTCCCTGAGACTGAGAGGGCTACAGGAAGCTGGTGGAATTGCTGAAAATTTCTACCTCTGCATTCTCCACCATCTCCCACCAAAGGATTCTGGGCCAAAGAGTGGGGGAAGAATCTACCGAAGACCCTAAACAGCAGCTGTCAATTGATCAGGACTATGCTCACTCAGAATAATACAGCCCCTTACATAATGATCAATTTTCATCATAGATTTTGCAGGGATGCAACTGAATAAATGAAGGATACAAATTAGTGAGGGGCAAGCTACCAAAATCTGGCTACAATTTCAACATGGCTGTCTTCTAGTTACAGGTCTCTAGTCTCACTCTGAAAAAAAATTGATCAGTATCTTGGTAAATTCATTCTCCACATATACAGTGACAGGGGTAAGACCAACTGGCAGATGATAGGTTATGAAGTCATTTACACCAAAAAGCTTATAGCACAAAGTTCTCTCATCTCACGCATTGATGAACAATCAAAATGAATGACTTTCACATGGTACACTGCCACATTAAAATTCTTTTTTAATGGACTACAGACTTTGTATTTTGTGAATTCAGTTTCTGGAACACTAAACTGGAAATTGTTTCCAGAAAGAAGTATCAAGTAATGTAGAAATATTCATTCCCAATTCAACTATATTTGCATTGCAACACTTAATACAAAGGCTGTTCAAGTACAGGGGAATTTAGTTGAGCAGCTGTGTTATTTGCAAGGCCTTACTGCCTGAGAAATGCATTTCTTCCATTGCCTCTTTTTAAATGTGCTAAATCTTAAATTCTTAGAATATACCAGAATTATGTAGTTCCAACATTCACCTGGCCAGTACACTATACTGTGCAAAGTCACTTTCAGTATTGCAACAGCTGCAGTATGTATGACGTCATGCTTCAATATAAGTAAACCTCTCAGGCCCAGTGAATACAGAGCACCCTTAAACTGTTGTGTGGGCAGAAAGATCAGCATCTACTCAGAGATAGCTAGATGATCTGCAAGGATTTCTGCCTTCTAATCCTTTAGCAATAGAAACGTTTCCCCTCAACCCCAAAATTAGGCTGTTGGAATCCCTGATTGAACAAGTCAAAGGCAAGTGTATACTGGGGCATATAGCTCATATGTATATTAGTCCCCTTTCTGCATATAACTCTACCAGTCCCAAGGTGGTGGCTCCACTCACCCACCCAGCGTAGGTCCCACTGTAAATGTATGTATCATCTTGGAATATTGCTAACAAGGGAATGCCTCAAGCAAAATCTTGACTTCAGATTTAGTATGAACATCACTGACACTCATACATTCACAGAAATAATATTTATAGGGATAGTCCACATTTGAAATGTCAGCTTCTCAGCTCTGAAAGCTAGCTGAGACACATGCAGTTTAGAAGGCTAAGAGCATTCAATCTGAGTCACCCTTTTACCAGAATCGAAAATTCACTGGAGAACCTTAGCGAATCTGGTATTCTCTGCCTGAGTCCCATCATCTGTAATTCAGGAGGGATATCAGTGGTCTACCTTACAGGGGTATTGGGCAGACTACCAAGATTATATGAAGTGCATTGAATTGTTCTGTGTAAATGCTAGGAATCACTGCTCTCTCTTACCCATATGTACTGCTTGCTCATTTGATTTTGTATGTGTGAAAAACCAAATCTAGTCCAATTTTTCAGACTCTTTTTTGCTTCATGACTTCTGCTTGGAAAGCAACAACTGGGTGGGGCATTTACAAACTCCAACATGAAGCATTCTAAAGCCAGGACAAAGTATTCATGGGCAGCTGCTAGAGGAAGGCTCTTATTAATGGCAAGGGGCCATTGTGGTTTCCAGGTAAATCAAGTCTGGAAGTCCCTAATCTTTATGAGTTTGAAATATGTGGTCTATGTGAGGCACCAATCAGGAGATGAGAACATTACAAAATGTTAATAAAGAAAATAAACAGGCTTCCCTTCCATCACTCTTCTTTAGAAATGAATTCACTGGGAAAGAATTTGGAGATTGGGATGGGGGGAACATGGGTACAGAGGAAAGAGAACTCTGTGAAACTCAGGGCAGATGGGCAATGAGCAAGGAGAACAGAAAGCTGGTCAGCTTAAGAAAAACAAGATTTTCATTCTGCAGGAAATAAAGTGCACTGCCTTGCCTCCCCCACAGAAGGAAGAAACAGATTTATTTGCTTCGCTGTTTTGTAACACCCTGTCTTGATTCAGAGTTTCTGCCTATGCATTACTCAGGTGTTAGAGCAGTGTTAAATATCTGAACCACACACAATGTCCCAATAGCTGTGGAAAACCTACAGCACTCAAAAGGAAAGCAGGCTGCTTGCCACAGAACTCACCCCCCCACTCCACCTTTAGACTAACTGGTTTTCTGATCTATTTAAAAGATGTTAAAACATTTTTTATCTGGCAGGCACCCTTGAAGAACAGGCCTTACCGCTCCTGCTCTGTGGATAGGCCAAGCATAAATTGCAGTTACAAAATACAACCTCGTGAAAAAAGAAATTCACAGGAGGGCTGGCTCCTGCTTTGAGAAGGCCCTGAGATAAGTGGCCTCCATGGCCCCTTTCCTGTGTTTATAACAGTGGAATTACCTGGCAGCAGTGCTAGCTAACTAGGATAGTCAAATCTTCTTTCATCACAGGCAGCGCAATATTTCTAGGGCTGCCAATGATGGTGTATATTTTTGATATATCTAGCACCACACATACAGGAGATGAGGTAGCTGGTGAGTGGCCTCTCTCCCTCCCCCTAAAAGCTTGTTAAGCACAAGGCAAGCTGCTGCTCCTGCTCTTGGCTCTCCAGTGCTGATTCCATGAATGGAAAGCTCTGCTGACTCACTGGTGCTAATACCATGAACAGAACCTCAAATGCCCCTGGGAAACAATGGATGAATAGGGTAATTAAGTGGAAATAAATTAACCAAAGAACTGCACTGGGTGATACGGGGAGGGGATCACATTTGAAACTGACATTTACTTTGGATGATTTGGATGGGAAATTACGTAGCTTGCC